TGCGTTACAATTGGAAGGAAAAAATAAAAATAAATTAAAAAAATGGAACGATACAGAGAAAAGGTTAGCTTGCCCCTGCGCAAGGATTACACAAATAAACCGAGAAATGGTCCAAACTTTTTTTTTTTTTTTTTTTTCACATTCAAAAAAAAAAAAGAAAAAGGTCGCCACCTGCTTCAGCATTTTCTAGGCTATTTCGCTCCGCTCCGCGGCCTTCGCTCTTTTCCGCCGTCTCATATATTACACAACATTGCTTTGGCTATATGACAGATCATCCATCTGTGAGGAATGTGTTCTCAAGGGCCCCTAGCCAACATGCACATGTTCATGTTCAGGACTGAGGCCCCCGGCAAGCCTCGTGCCCGCCCTAAGAGAAGGCGGGCCTGAATATCCACGAGAGGCCCTTATCTCAGCAATGTCCAATCTGGGTATCAGGCAGTTGCTGCACGCCAGTTGGTTGAAGTGCAATCTGGGCCTCTCTCCCTGGGCTCTTTCCAGAAGCGGCAGCTGCGTCAAGCAGTTGAGCCCAGGACGCAGGTGGTTGCGTGCTGGGCACACACAGTGTGAGGCCGATGCATCATGAAGTGGCCGCGGGCGAATGAGAATGCAGCATTGTCGTCACACCTACCCCGCGGGCCAATCCAAACACAGCAAACACTTGGACTCGGAGCCTGGAGGCATCTGAAGGTGCCCAACCGAAGAGGGCCCAGGCCCTTAACTCTAGGATGGGCCCGGGCGCAGACACTAGGGCCCCAACGGAAGCTACTGGAAACTTCCTCGGCCAGGCCCAGGCAGCCCAGCAGGGCAGCTACTCCCATATAGGGAGGAGGCCCGCCAGAGGCTGGCATTCTGGCATAGGCAGGCAATGCGGACACGCTGCTGCGACACTGCGCAAGAGTCTGCACCAGAGCTGCTGGCTGGGGCGCTTGCAGGTGCTATTGAGGTGAAGAGGGGCGCAGCAGGGCAGCGGGGCGCTTCGCAGCCATAACCGGGCTGCAGGGGCGCGGGCAGGTGATGGGCAACGGTGGTCTTCAGGAAGGAGGTGGATGACGAAGGTCTGATGAGGGGAGAAGAGAGAACATACCTGGTGTACGTGGGAGGTCGGTATCGGTGTTGACGTCATGTACATTGGTCTTCGACGGCAAAGTGACCCTGTTGCACGAACGTAGATAGGATAGATAGGCTGAGTAGACTAGGCTGGGCACTGGGCGCCATACAGTATGAGCGACATTGGATACTGCGTTGGCATCGCCCGAGGGCTTGGACATTGTCTTGGTGCATTTGAGCTCTCTGCTTGGTAGATGACCATCTGGACTTCTGCGTGATTGTGCAACTCGGTTTTCTGTTTATCGCTCTCCCTTCTGTTCCTTCCACATCACTATCTTTAAAAAAAAAAAATGGGGGGATGAAAGACGGCCACTAGATATCATCATGGAACTGACCAGCCCCAGGTAATTCAGAAGGCCCCTCTGGTGGTAGTGCCCTGCTTCGAAAAGGATCCGGCAATGGATGGCGGGAAAGCCACCGGCGCTCCTTTCACGATCCCCGCATAAAATGGGGGGATGAAAGACGATGGGTCCTTTTTCGGTGGTTTCCATCCAGCTGGATTACACAGCACATTTCTCGGCGTGGTTCTGAGGGCAGGCGGTCGGCAGCACTGACCCCTATCCTCAGCGCCAGCCGAGCTGTTTAGGATCCTCAGTTCCCTTTTCCAGCCGGAAWRGACAGCACAGGAAAAGAGGGTGGGGACATGTTGCTCAGGTGGTGAGGGGATTGCTCTGTGAAATCATATGGAAAGACAGAAACAGGGGCACGACTCAAAAGACAGAAACAGCGGCACGACTCCAAAGACAGAAACAGGGGCACGACTCAAAAGACAGAAACAGCGGCACGACTCCAAAGACAGAAACAGGGGCACGCCTCGAAAGACAGAAACAGGGGCACGACTCGAAATACGTCCTCTTTCYGACTCAGAAATTAAGATAGTGGCAAGGCAGGGCTTGCGGGGAGGAGGCTATCAGAGTTGGATTGGAGGAAGAAGGGGAAGGGAGGAAGGGGGGGAGCAGGAGACAGCTACACTACGGTGGTTCCTCAACTCATGGRCGCAGCGTCRWCAATCATCTGCGGTTACACCACGCACAAAAGGTCCGGTTGGGTCCGGTCCKGYCTTGTCCATCTCYTTGGATACGCGAGCCACTGKTTTTTCCAGCAGACTGCGACCCACTAGTTTTCTAGCAGAACGGGAGCCACTAGTTTTCCAGCATTCCAGCAGCACGGTAGGTAGTGTCAAAGGTGCGGCATAGTTGGGCGGTCGGGACTATGGATGGGAGGAACCAGGGCCACACTGTGCACGGATTAAGAGATACTGACCGTAGATAGCAAAGATCAACGGCCGAAATCTCCTAATTTGCCCAAGTGAGACCCTGCCCCCGGCCTCAGAAGAGCTGCTTAGGTGTGGGAGAGGAGGGTGGAAAAGAGCGTCACAGGGCCTGGGCACACCACTCTCCAATCGAAATGTGAAAAAGACAATAATGTGCCGGGTGGAAGTGCATCTGGACATGTTCTAGCGGGAAGTTCATTCTCATTTTGAACATTTTCGAGAGTGGTGTGGCGATGCTGCCCACAGTGACATGGCGCGCAGGTTCAACCCAGCCGAGGTTGGGCTGGTACCACGCCGATAGATAGTACGCCTCTGGTTCTGCAGGTGTGCAGAAAAGTACTCAAGAGAGAGTAATTGATGGTAGTTGATTGAAACTGATTACTTTGGATTTTTTTATTTTTTTTTTTTGGATGGATTTTGAATTAAATTTGAACTTCAAGCTCAGGTGGATCTCCATTTGTGCAGAGAGTTATCTTGTTTCTCGACTGCCCAGGAGGACTTACACTAGGTAGCAATTTCGTGTCGATAAAAGATAGGCTTATGGTGAGATTTGGTCTCCGGGGGCCCACATGGGTCTCGTCAACAGCTAACACTGGGTAATGCTCCAGGTGGGCTGAATTGTGGGGGGTCCCCCCGGCCCTAAGATTGAATTTTGATATATAAAAAGGACGTTTAAGAAAGAAAGAAAGGAAAAAAAAATAGATTCGTTCTGTTCATCTGATTACTTTCTCGATTCGAGTTCATGGGTGTCCCGACTGATCTACGGCCGTCAGTATTACAAGTTCCTGTGGAACAACAACAACAACAACAAAAAAAAAAAAAAAGGGCTTTTAGTCAACTGGAAAAATAAATTAAATTTGCTTGAAAGATCATTCATCGAAAGTTCCTTTAGGAATGTTAAAGAAAAACGTCCACTAATGTAATAAATTGCTTTCCTGAAAAGTTATCTACTCGAGTGAGCGCATAGTCAGACTACGATTTCCTCCACTGACCTCTGGTCGTCATCGCAGTCGGATGCATCCCAGGTCGGGCCGTAATTGCAGTCAGGTACATTTCGAAAAGAGCACGTATGACTATGCCCTCGAAATGTTTAGCGATGAGGGAGCGCGATACTCTGCTGTACACAGTGCGAARTTCCAAAAAGAACTCGCAAAACAAACTAATGAAATTTTATTTATTTTCAAAACAGAAATCCAAGACTGTGATGGCAAGTCATACGGAGCTTAAACAAATAAAAAAACAAAAAAAAACAAAAAAAACGCATTAATCAAGGGCACATGCACTCGTTCCCGCCAGTCCGATCACAAAAAAAAAAAGAAAAGAAAAAGAAACACACACACACACACACACACATGACCGCGTTGGGCTAATTAGCCTTTTGATGAAAGAGAAAACGAAAAAAAAAAAAAACACGAAGACGAAAATCATGTTCGAATTACACAAAACACCGATGGCATAACGAAAAAACAAATGAGTCGCAATTAAGTTCTCAAAAGAAGGGGGGAGGGGGGAGGGGGGGGTGGGGAGGAGAAAAAGGCCGAAAAAGACGAGGCTATCGTTTTGGTGGGCAGTTCGGATATCGCTTTGGTTACTACATGGGTGTGGCTATACCTCTTGGTTGGGGTTTGGGGGGGGGGGAAGGAGCCGAAAAAGAAGAAACATTGGAGACCCTCAGTGTGGGTACGCCCATGTGCTGTTTTAAGTATGATGTATAGCCTTGGGCACGGGGACCGATTGAAATAAAATTCCAATGCGTTCACAAAAAAAAAAAAAAAAAGGGGGAACCGGTGGAAGCTGTTTCTTCAATGGTTTATCTTTTGGGGTGTACTACCAACGAGCTACCCGTCTTCACCCGAATAGAACGCCCGGTCATTATAACTGTATTTGAGGCAACTTTCAGTCCAGATGCAATATTAATGACCGGGCGTTCTATTCGGGTGAAGACGGGTAGCTCAGTTTCGTACACCCACGAACTGTTGAAATATACCTGACCACAAACGCAGCCAGATTCAAACTTGGGTGCTTTTCACACACTGAGGGCGTACTCACCCTAAGACTTCCTTAGATGTATCTGACCACAAACACCGCCAGATGGAGACTTTCGTACATGTACCTGATCACAAACTCAGATTCAGTCAAGGACACGCCTGTATGAATGTCCTAGAGAAATCGAGCGACAGAGGGACGAGAAGGAAGAAATAGGTAGGGGGGGGAAAAAGGCAGGAAAAGAAAAGGCAGGGAAAAAAAGGCAGGAAAAGAAAAGACAGGAAAAAAAAGGCAGGGAAAAAAAAAGGCAGGAAAAAAAAAGGCAGGAAAAAAAAAGGCAGGAAAAAAAAAGGCAGGAAAAAAGAAGGTAGGGGAAAAAGAAAAAAGGTAGGGGGGGGAAAAAAAAGGTAGAGGGGGAAAAAGAAAAGGTAGGGGGGAAAAAAGAAAAGGTAGGGGGGAAAAAAGAAAAGGTAGGCAACCTCCCTCCAGATCGTCAGTTCCACTTTAAGTAAAATACGAAGGCGGAGAAGTGATCGATCTTAATCCAAAAAGAACCGAAAACAGAAAACCGGATTATGTAGCTCGCCTTTTTTTTCATTTTAACAGTCAAGGCACCAAATTTTACGCCCTGAAATGCGAAAACAATAATTTGTTTTTTCCAAATAACAAGAAAAGGCAGAGCTTACCCCGTAGCACGGCCAGGTAATGTTCAAAAGGGAAAAAAAAAAAAAAAAAAAGCAGAGCTTCTAGTCAAAAGTTATTCGAAATCCATCATTAAATCCATATCCGCCCAGCTTTACGACTCAGAGACCACAACCCTACACTACAGCACCTATCCATCTCCGCTCCGTCTCTGCAAGCCCTCCCAAGTTCACCCACTCTCTCTCTCTCTCTCTCTCTCTCTCTCTCGCACCCACCTTCACGTATGCTCTCTCTCTCTCTCTCTCTCTCTCTCTCTCTCTCTCACACACACACACACACATACACACACACAAGCGCGAGGTAGACGCAGAACACATTGACTAGGACAAATAGCTCCGAACCCACTCCCTCACTTGTTCTCCCTATTTACAGAAAAAACGTACGAAACGTTTTGGTTCAGGGAACGAGGCCAATCAGCAAACAAGCCTTCCTTGGTCTTGGTTCGCCGCGTAGTAATAATCATCAACAACAATTGACCACTTAACCCCCCTCCTCCAACGAAGAAAAGGAAATTAAAAAAAAATAAAAAAAATTCGACGACGAAGATGTCGACGATTCCAGCCTCGTCACCAAAACAACCACAACACTTACCAAATGTAGCGATAACTCGACTCTACCAGTTCCTCCGTTCCTCTCTCTCTCTCTCTCTCTCTCTCTCTCTCTCTCTCTCTCTCTCTCTCTCTCTCTCTTTCTCTCTCCCCATGTGTCGCTTGCTCTTTCTGAGTGTAATAATTACTTACCCATTGAATTCGATTCAATCGGATTGGACTGAATCCCGACGTTGCAGGTTCCAATCCCTTCTTTCCAGACGTCCCCTCCTTCACGCATATCCTTTCGTCTTTACTATGATCGACCAATGAATCGATCATTGACGACTCATCTCGAGGGCCTCTTCCCTCCAGATCTGGCTGGGATCGTTGATGACGTTCTGATCTGAACCCCAGTGATTACTTGGAACTAAGCTCCGTACTCGTCTATATTGGCCGTGGGTAGTACTCGCGTTATCCTTGCGCAATCACTGTCACTGCCGCTCATCATATTGAATTGAACAAGTAGCACTCCATAATTGACCCGATCGGAGATGGCCCCCCAGGCACGGCGGCGATACCAATCAAACAAACACATTCTTTTATGTCAAGGACGATGACGACGCCGTATCGCCAAGCAACCTGCCAAATGACCTCACACCCAAAGGCAATAAAGCAACCACGATGACTTACAGGAAACACACAGAACAGAATGAGAAAAGAGCCTGTGAAACAAGACTAATTAAAAAAAAAGAACAAAATTCGACGAACGAACAAGAGGCAGAAACGAACTGGTACTCCACGATGATGGCAAGAAAGACGACAGGCAGCGCCACCCACATCCATTGCCGATTCCTTACTTTTACTCTTCTGGATTCTCTCTCTCTCTCTCTCTC